TGGCTAGCATCTGGATGGTGTGGCCCCCATCTCCCAGGCAGCCCAGGACCCAGTCAGGGTGGCCCACTCTGGCCTGAATGCCCAAAGACAGGCTCTGGTCTGATGCCAGGGGCCCATGCACCTCAGCAGGGCCGGCCAGGGAGGTCTCAGGTGCCCTGTCCTATGTCCTCAGCCCCCTGGGCCAGGCCAGGCTCTGGCTCCCCGGTCTATCGGAGCAGACCACTCTGCCAAGCCCAGAACCCCCCTCAGAAACAGCCTCGTGACCAGTGCGGCTGGGCCCTCCAGGAGCCCCGGCCTGGCACAGACCTGCCCGTCTGCCCAGTCTGCGGCCACAGGGCAGCCCCGAGTTGGGAAGAGGGTTGGGGCTCCGTGGGCCTTCCCGCTGGAAGGGCCGGCTCTCCCGCACTCACACGGGTCTCAGTGTGTGTGGGGACTTGGGTGTCGGGGGCCCTCGCCAGACCCCCCACTGTGGACTTTTACGCCCTGGTGACACTGGCCACTCAGAGCCATGGGGTCAGCAAGGCCACGACAGGCCCTCCCAGGGCCAGGTCATGAGGGCGAGGCCCGTGTGGACAGTGAGGGCGTCCAGGTGGCCTGCAGAGCGTGGGTGCTAGACACAGCCGGGCCCACCAGGGAGCCCTGAGTGAGCTCTCCGTGCCTGGCCCTGGCTCCAGGCCAACAACTGACTGGTACTGGGGTCCTGGAGGGCCACGGTGAGCACCAGCCCGATCTCTCGGAGTGGCCACAGCGAATTCTGGAGAGCTTGGAGGATGGAGTCAGGTGAGGGGTGGGCAGCGCCTGGTCCCTCCCAGCCCTGGGCTCTGCCCTCACCTCCACCAGCACCCAGGGCCCTGGCTGCTGCCACACCGCCCCCTCACAGTCCGCCGTCACGGGGCTGTCCTGGAGGGCCACGGTGAGCACCAGCCCGATCTCTCGGAGTGGCCACAGCGAATTCTGGAGAGCTTGGAGGATGGAGTCAGGTGAGGGGTGGGCAGCGCCTGGTCCCTCCCAGCCCTGGGCTCTGCCCTCACCTCCACCAGCACCCAGGGCCCTGGCTGCTGCCACACCGCCCCCTCACAGTCCGCCGTCACGGGGCTTCTCAGCATGCACCTCTCCCTCCGTGGGGACCCCCGGTGGGGCCTGTCTCTGCTAACCTAAGCTGCAGAACTGCCATTGCCTATGGAAGCCA